ATATGCTTTTAATTCAACCAAAAGGTTGCAAGTAGGAAATTTCTGTTTGCTAAAACGTGCCCGATGATTGCAACTTAAGTGTACTCTACCCGAATCACAAAAATTGCGGCTTCACAGCCTGCGTAAAATACCGCGGGAGCAGCATCTTTAATAACGTCTATTAGTCTATTATTGTGTGAGAGACTCAAGTCCACTGTCAACAAACTGATTGAACTTCATCATTGTGGCTTTAGACCTGGTAAGTCCACCATTGACCAGATATTCACCATGCGCCAAGTCTTGGAAAAGACCCGTGAAAAGAAGATCAGCACACACCACCTCTTCGTCGATTTTAAAGTAGCCTTCGACAGCACGAAAAGGAGCTGCCTATATGCCGCTATGTCCGAATTTGGTATCCTCGCAAAACTTATACGGCTGTGTAAACTGACCTTAAGCAGCACTAAAAGTTCCTTTAGCATCTAGCCGTTCAATATCAAACGAGGTTTTAGACAAAGTGACTCCTTAAAGTGTGACTTTTTCAACTTATTGCTGAAGAAAATATTATGCGCTATAGAGCTGAATGGAGGGAGTACAATCTTCTATAAGAGTCTACAGTTGATGGCATACGCTGATGATATGGACATTATTAGCCTTAACAAGCGCGCCGCGAGTTCCGCTTTTTCAGACTTGATAAAGAAGCGAAGCGAATGGGTCTGATAGTGAACGAGGACAAGACTAAATGTCTTCTTTCATCAAACGAACAGTCATCGTTTCTGCGACTGGGTTCACACGTCACTGTTGATAGTCATAACTTCGACATATAACATATAATAATGTCAGCCTTAAAATCCAAAATTTTTAGTGTCCATGAGTGGATCTATCAAAACAACAGCTCATGTTGAGAATAGAAAGGTGCTATCGGAAACTTATCGGTATACGAAAGTTTGAAAGATTGAGGAGCCATATAAGTTGACGAGAAACAATCTTATGAACCGAATTTCCAGCTGCGAATCGCTATAAAATCTGTCTGTGAGTATTATCAGGGATGATTTGCATTAAGGAAGACAAACTGTTTTCTACTTACACGAAATGAAGATTTCTCTTAACCTTACACTTGACAAACGAAAAGACTAGGAATTAAGTTAAATTATAGACATCAGATTTGATATACCGGGTCATTGAGGGCCTCTTTTCCTTTAACATTTTGACACTAATGGATGGCTTTGAGATACTACCAATAATATTTTTCCGATTTTGTCAATAGTTTAACATTTCTTGAGTTGCGCACTTTTTTGAAAGCAGTCAAACTCGTTTTAAAATCACAATTTGTGCGTAATAGCTTCCCAGTCGGGCATAATGTGCAACGAGCTCGCATATATGCTTGTCCAGTGGCTTTGGAGGAAAATGTTGTTTTTGTAGTTCAAAGAATGCTCGAACTACAGCAACTGGATACTGTTCCCAGGATTTAAACGTTTTGGGCACTGTTTGTAAAAGACTTCGACATAAAAATCTGCAAAGTCAAATAAGTCCAAGAATCCTGTGCAATGTCGTTCCGTGTAAGGGGCAAACGATCTTTTTCGTTATATCTTATTTTCACAGCGGTGAGTACGTTAACAAGCAAAACTTCCACATTTCGGTTTTCAAATATTTTTTTTGTTAAATGCGGGTATACGGGCTTTCTTAAGTGAGAACAAAGTTAGGTTCAGTCCCTACCGTCTTTACTAGCACTCCCTTGAGGCATCACAGCTATGCTGGCATTGGGTAGCCTTTTTCATTACATGCACTTCATACCGCTTCTTGTTAGGCTACTCCTGTACACGTCAAGAAATATATAGATATAAGTAAATTGAGCTGTCGGGACTATCAGAAGCCACTAACACAACCTCCTAAAACATCCATCTGGGTCACGCTGGCTGAAGAACTAGTTCTTGTACCTTACTTGAGGTGATTCCGTTAGGCATCCTAAAATCATGCGGTTCACAGAGAAAGCATGAGATGTGTTGTACTAATTACTAGAGAACTAACAATTCAAAAAAAAAAAATCAAAAAAAAATTCAACTTAATTAGAGTTGTTTTACGGTTCTAACTACAGGCTGTATACGTACATACGTATATAATATGATAAATGAAATCGAATTCGGTCTAAGAGTAGGGAAAGCCAATTAAATACCATGATTTATGACCTCCTCCTCCCAGCTACAGAGAATTTCTTAATGTAAGTATGTCAGTACTGTCCCATAAAGAGTAATAATCGTTGTTTTTTTTTCCATATTTGAAATATTTTCTCATTAAACTCCTGCGCTTATTTCTCTATTAAATTAATTGAGTAATAAAGACATTAAGGCAAGCTACCTACATGCATCAAGGCACCGAGGAGCAGCACAAATGCAATAAATTACGGATTGAGAATTGCAAGAAATTGGAAAATATTGAAGCTTCAATTAATGAGCGCCACAATCATATTAAAATGAATGAAATGGATGATTAACAGTCGGCAGAGTAGCGAGAGCGCCAACTGAAGATACAAACAGGATATGTAGGCAGGGAAAAGAGCAACCTATCGATTTACGAGTACGCCCGAGAAGAATGGTAGGCGGGTAGCTCACCATCATTCCAGCCACTTGTGACATATTCGATATATTCTTAAATTTTTGCAGGTTACATACGAGCATATGTACATATGTATGTATTTATGTACGTTAACTCGTGATTTTGCCTCAATGGTGCAGTTTGTATTTTAAAGCCACACGTAACATAAATGAATTTTATGAGAGGCTTTCCCTTAGTTTATGAGCGTTCATACACGTATGTATGTGTGTCTTAAATGACTTCATTTACGACGACAAAAAATATGTAATAATTTTTTCTTTATTTCGTCGTTGCCTTAAACTCGCAATAAAGTTAATGAGAAATGTTGAAAGCTGGAAAATAATTCGTGTGTATTTTTGTAAAGAAAGTAGCTGTAAAAAAGCGAAATTTAATATGAGCAGAGTGGGAATTGTGTTGGCATGATTTTTTTTCAGCTTGGTGATTGTTACTGTTGCTGATTCTCGTGTTTCTGTTATTAAAGAAAGTTTATTTTTTAATTGCAAACGTGTCTTAATTTCTTAACGGTTGTAGCGTTGTGAAGGAAATGTGAAAAATTTAAATTTTCATTGAAGAAAAATAACAAAAAATTTAAAACGTTGAAATATTGTATTTTTTTAAATTTCAATTAATTTTTTGTAGTAAATAATTTTTATCTTTATTTTATATTTTATCATTAATTTAACTTTATATAAATTTAGGCTATCTTAGTTTTTTAGTTTCCACGGTTTCTCTTTAATTAACTTTTTAATTTCATTAGTTTTAATTTATTCCTTTCCCTGTTTTATTATATTATTTGTTTTTCTATTATGTTTTATTTTAGGTCATTTATAATTATTTTGTTATACATTAAATTATTCAGAATAATTTAATTAAATTTTATTTTATTTTACTTTAATTTATCGAGCTTAATTTTTGTTTAATTTTTTATTTTTTGTTATTTTATTTTATTTTAATTTACAAAATTGTAATTTAACTTATAATAATTTAATTTTTATTTTGCTATTTTTAAATTTTATACTGCATTTTGTTTTTATTATATTTCATTTAACTTAAATTTAATTTAATTATTATATAATTATTTGTTTCCTTATTTCGTTTAATTATTTAATTTTAATATTTTTAAAATAGGTTTAAGTTAATGTAATTTCATTTTGTCTTACTGTTCTACTCTATGTTGTTTGAAATAATTTAATTATTGTATCTTATATTATTTTATTTTTTTCCTCATTTCAATTATATATTTTTGATATATTTACAACTATTTCATTTTATTCAAATTTTTTCTTATTATTTTTTTCTCTTTTTATATTCCACTTTACATTATTATTATTTTATTTTGTTTTACCTAATTTTACCTTTTTTTAATTTTATTTAATTTTTTTGGTTTTGTTTACTTCACTTTAATTCATTTAATTTATGTAAAATTAGTTATATTTGTTTTCTCGTTTATTTTATTTAATTCAGTATATTATAGTTGTTTATTTTATTTTGTTTTAATTCTTATTATTTTTTTTTCTTTAATTTATTTTATTTTACATTTCTTTAATTTAGTTTTTTTTTATTCAATTTTACTTCGTTTTATTTTATTATATTCTATTTTGTTTCATTTTTAATTTTTTATTTTATTTAGTTTATTATATTTTATATTATTTAATTTTATTTTGTTTAATTTAATTTAGTTTTATTTTATTTTATTTCACTATATTTATATTGATTTATTTTTTTGTATTTTATTATATATTGAATAATTTTATTTTATTTTATATTATTTATTTTAATCTAATTTAAATTAAGTTAACTTCAATTTATTTTATTTTATTTCATGTTTTTACTTTGTTCTATTTTATTTTATTCAATTTTTTTTATTTTATATTATTTAATTTAATTTAATTTAATTTAACTTTATTTTATTTTAATTGATTTTATTTCATAGTAATTAATTTTTTATTAAATTTTAATTTTTTTTAATTTACTTTATTATAAATTATTATATTTTCTTTTCTAGTTATATATTTTATATTTTTAAATTTTTTTATTTTTTATATTTAATTTATTTTATTTAAGCTTATTTTAATTTATTATATTTTATATTATTATATTTTATTTTATTTAGTTTAAGTATATTTAATTTAAATCAATTTTATTTTATTTATCTTATATTTTTTTTAATAAACTAAATTTTATTTTATGAATTTGTTTGTTATTTCATTTAATTTAGTTGTGTTTTGTTTTATTTTCTTTTAATTTTTTTTATTTGTTGTTTAACTTAATTTAATATAATTTAGTTTGTAGAATTTGCATTCGTTTTATGCTGTTTGCTGAAATTCCCATGAAAATAAGATTTTAAATAGTTCAAGAAAAATTGGAGAAAAATGTAAGGGACAAGAACTGCACCCAAACTATACGCAGATTCTGCGAATAATTAAACTCACCTGCTAAGCCAAACTGTAAAATGAGAGCAACAGAGCTTCAATCCACGCTACGCATACACACACAGTTGATGGGAGTCCCAGATGTTAGACTTTTTGTCAGGGTGACTAGTTTTCAGCGCTCTGCTTCTTTATTGTAAGTGTATTTTCTGGATTTTGGTTTTTCTGCTTTAATTTCTGCTTTGGTTAATGATTCACCTCATTGCAACTGCATACGACTTCCTTCGTCAGAGCAGTCAGCTTAAGCTCAATTCATGCTTGTGGACATAACTGTAAGCAAAGTATATAAGCAGAGTACAAATGCATAAGTCCAAGTGTTCAAAGGTCTTATATCATGTATGACAAATGAGCGTAAAATATGTATGTACTCGTTTAAGGCTAAGCTATGCTATGTTATGCTTGATTTTCTATGAAATTCTCTTGTTTTGCCCTTTTTCCATCTACTTTTCGTTTTGTTTGCATGGCTTAATTAAGCGATAAGCCCGTGGCAGCAGTACTCAAAATATACATATATGTGTGCCTACTCGTTGTTGTGTGCCTGTGATGGCTGTGTATGTGCTTGTATGCATACTCACACAAATTCGTATCTCCTCTGGGTATGTAGTGGGCAAGCGGCAGGTGTTCTTCTTGTTGGCATGTTAAATAGCTGTTGAGTCTCTTATTCATTCTTATCTCAGATTTGCGAATGCATACCCACACACAAGCACTCATACACAGGTTCCTAAGTACATATACATAAGTGCGCCCTGAGGCAGACTTGCCATTTGTAAATACACCTAAATGTGCTCACACACACTCATCTCGTACGTAATATTGTTGAGATTGCGGCAATGCGTCGAGCACGATCTGCAGTAATTACCGGCTAAGTGCTTTTGGCTGAGAGGCAAACATTTATGTGTGTGATAAGTGAATAAAGGTGAAGAGAAAAAATTATGATAATGCAAAAAATTTGTCTGTAAACTAATTGTTTGTTTTGAGTTGAGATATTTTTTTTTTATTAAATACGATTATTAAAAAATAATTTATACAAAAAAATATATAAAAGGAAATAGCTAAAATACCAGATAAAATGTGCGAAGTATTTAAAAGCAAAGGAAAATGAAAAAGAATTTAAATTTCAATAGCAACGTAAAAAGCAATAACAAAAATAAATTTTGTAAAAAAAAGTAATTTCAAGAATTTGAAATTTCTCGAAACGATACGAGCTTTGCAAGGGCAGACGAAAAATATAAAAATAATTGTTAAACACACATATTAATTTTTCTATTGTCCCTAATGTTCAGAAGAAGATTTAAGCGAAAATTTCCTGGAAACCGATATACGAGTATTCGAAAATCTTCTATTAACGGCTCGATTTGCATTTAATTCTGTCTTTTCTCGAAAATACTCGTAAATAGATCTAGAACTGGGAAACGAGTTGACGTCATGTGCTAGGCTGTGGCCAGCCATGTTAATGAGTGCCAACAGCATCGGTTGATGAGAACCTATATATTAACGACTGATCTTTGGGGGCATGCGCCTGTAGTGGCCGGTCTCTTAATGAAGAAGGTGCCGCTGCCCAGCTGGTTAAAGTCCTGGTAGAACTAAAAGTTCACATGGCTGTCGTTCAGGGGATAAGGATGTTAATGAAAAGTCATATATGATTTCGGATACTTGGTGGAAGAGAAACCCCGTTGATCATAAATAAATGTTGCACATAATTTCAGTATAACAGCAGGAGCATAAGATGGAAATATTCGAAAACCCTATTGTTCTTCCCAATACTTAAATAGTAAATAAAATAAAGTAGTTTTTCGGAAGCACTAAAACCGTCTATTGCTCATTTAAAATCGTTCAAAGAAAATAATCTCTTGTGAATATAGTCTCTCTTGGGGCGTTTCAAATAGTAGAATAAATACTAATTAATTTTTCAATTGCCATCTAATCTAATTTTAATTAACTTCAAGGGAAATTGTTCACAAAACAGACTTCTTTAACCAACTAAATACCAAAATAAATTCCAATATACCGCACCAACTGCAGCACTTGCCACAATTGAAAATTTAACTGGCAACCAACAACTTGCACCACCACCACTACATGCGCCGCTCTGCCGCCATTGCCACAATGCAATTTCAACAAATTTTAGATTTTACGCGACGCCATTCAAGGAGTCGTAAAATGCAAATTCTCAGGGTAATTAAGATTTCGCGAACATGCTGGCTGTTAGTGTTGCAAGAACGCACAATTGTGGCACGCATTCCAAAGTAAATGTAATGTATTAGTATAAATGTATGCATACACGTTGTGTGTGTGTGAGCGTATATTGAAGATGCCAAGTAAGAACAATGAAATTGGAAAACCGAACGAATTCACAAGACAACCACTACACACAGGCATATAACGGTAAAAGGTAACGAAAGCCAAGACAAAGGAAAGGCAAGAAATAGTATTTTGTATATGCGCATACATACAAACATACATATGCACTTAAATTGAAAGAATGTAAAACATGTGTTGCAAGGTTTTGGTAAAAACGCTGCTGACATTGTCTCTACGCTTGCAACACACTTGCACGTGCATTTTTATGTATGTTTATACGTTTGGGTGTGTGAATGTGTGTGTGTGTAAGGGAATGCAGCGCTGCATTTGCATAATTCAAATTGCCAGAGTAATTATTGTTGCTGTTGCAACAATGTCGCCCTAGTGACAACCATAGCCAAAGTTGCAACGACATTAGCGACAGCAGTCACTTTGGCGGCGACAGTTAGTTTTGTATAATGATAATGATTATGCCATGCACACACACACACAAACACATACACACGTCTTAATGTAAAGACAGATAATTTGCGTCATCATCTAACCTTAAGCAAAGGAAGTGTGTGTTGCGCATATAAAAAGTCACAAAGAATTTTGTTGGTTCTTCTTCACCTTCTGGTTTCTCACAAACGTTCCATACGCTTTTTTATGTTGCACACCCAGATTCTTAACTTTGCATATGCTCTTATGTGTGTGTGTTTCTAAAAATGCTAATGAATTTAATTGAGTTGCGGCTTGATTTACATTCAAAATGACATAAACGAGAGGTAGGAAGGGAGAGAGTGAGTCCTCACTCACCGGCTGTTACAAGCTAACATTGTCCATCATGCGAGTGTATGCATGTGTATGTGTCTGTGTGTATGTGTACTACACAGTCACATCATTAGCTCACACACCAAGATCCGTAAAGTGCACGAAAAAGTATATCTCTAAGAATGTATATATATTTTTCCGAGACATATTTTTATGACGTTGTAAAAAAACCTAACAATTCAGTCCAAGGATATTTTGTTGTGTGAGAGTAAATAAAACGTGTTCATATTTGCAATTTCGTGGCTCATTTAACTTGCAACGTTGCACATAAATAGTTTAAGAAATATTACAATAAGTTTTATGGGCGCACACGCAGACTATATAGAGCAGTTTGGAAGGAAATTGGATAACAGTTATATCACCAAGGTTTGTAGAATACAAGGTCACAAGAACCGTTGTCGTCACCGAACCAACTTCGTCATATATACAGTGGTTGAGACTTGGATTATATATTATCATAAAAAAAAGGATTTGTTTCCTTAAAAAAATATATATAACCGTTATTTTCAATTTTTGAAAAAGTATTTGTTTATTCATCAATAACTATTTCGTCCCCTTCAAAGTAAAGCCCCTCAGATATAATAAGCCAGCGCATTTTCCAAACCTCGAAACTCTTCTGAAACGCGTTTTTTGGATTCGCCAAGAGCTCCTGTATGTGATGCTTTCTTATACAAATGACAAAGATTTGGCGATTTTTTACTGTGTGCAAGGTACAAGGCGGAAGGCTCGATCAACATCCAATAGTTATAGAAAATTAATTTAAATAAAAAATTATTCTAAATTTTCTAATTGCGGTCGCCTTTTGGTAGGGAATGTCCACCCCTCCGAATGTTTTTCGGATATGAAATAAAGGCTCCTCATAAAAAAACCAACAGCCGTTCGGAGGTGGCTTAGTTTAAACTGTAGGTTCCATTCCATTTTTTGGAAAAACATCAAGACGTAAAACCACAAATTGGAGATGGAGCTCGGCCGTAAATTACTTCAGCGGTTTTCGATTTTCTTTTACCAAAGTTCTCAGCTCAAAAACTAGTATCCCTAAATTCATAAAACTCTTAACGAATCTGCTATAATATCGCATCTCAGTTTTAATTGTGTAGAAAATATTAATACGCATCACTCACACATTTTTTTTCCTAACTTTTATCAACAATAACCCACTGTACACTTTTCACCGCTTCGAATTTTCAAACACAATTTTTTCACAAAATATGGATGATCCATTTCCCAAAAGCTTTTAAACAGATAAAGAAAATAAGTGAAAATCACTTTTTTTATTAAATATTTGAATTTTGACAATTTTTAATGAGCGAGAATTACCCACCCAATTCAGGCGAAATGGCAAACTGGCTCGCGTACAAGCTCTTCCGTTCAGAAGATAATATCAACTGGACTCATTTCGCGCAATTCTTCAAGCAGCCTTTTGCATAAATCAATCTTTGGGCGAGAAACTCTTTTTCACCTCAGGGACTACGTCAAAAAGAAATACTTCTAGCTTTAGTTCTCAGAAAACCCCAACATAACCATGAACAATCCAATAAGGCCCCGAAAAATGACGGTTTGGTGTGGCATGAGGACCGATACTATAATTAGTTCAAGATGGAACTGCCGTTGGACAATTTTTTGAGGCGAGCGAAAATGTGTTGGAAATTTGGGTCGCCAGAAAAAGCTTCAAAGCTATTGCAAGGTAAGTGGCGACGATCATATTATAGCAGGGGTAGAGATATTTTACTAAATTTTTACTCTATAAATTCTTAGCCTCTTGTCAAATTTGCTCTCTCAGCATGAACGTCACGAACGACTTTTAAGCGATTAAATTTTTTGATGTAAGGTTAGATCGTATTGCTTAAGAAAACTCTTTTTATACAGCCTTCTATGACCCGTCTTGCCTCCCAGCTGAACATTTACGTCTCTCGATGCAGGACGTATACTTTAGGGATATTCAAGAAAGTTTTCATCATCGACGCTATACTTGGGAGTACCACAATACAGAGGTTTCGTGCCACTAATATAAAGATCCACTAATATCTTTAGCATGCCGGCTGGAAAATAGCTTAAGTAATTGCTCTTGAGCTTAATTGTAAGCTTTTGACGAGCTTTCACAACAAAAACTACCCTTCAGCACAAATATGAGTATCAAGCAGAA